ATGTAAACACACACACACACACACACACACACACACTTACAAGTAAACTCTGTCCTCCTCACCATTAAGCCATAATTCTATAGTTAGCTTTTGTTATTTTATTCTTAATCTTGTTGATAGCCCACAGTTCCCTCATCATTTCAAGACTTTCCATAAATCATAATATAACCGACCTGAAAATCTTCCTCTGGACCTAAGACAAAAAGAAAAGGCCAGCTGTGGTGCTCTGATCAATCTGCTCCAAATAGGAGACTGGTGCTTTAACTGTTTATGAATTGCATTATGCTTTGTATCATGGTATATAATTCTGGGTTATAGTACAAACAGAATATTTACCTGAACTCAGGATGGTCTGATAGAATTAAGCAAAGAGAACCTTTTTTCACTATTTGGGGGCCTGATAAGTTCATCCCCAAGAATGTGGAAACATAGAGTTAAGTTAGAAAATCTACACATAATAGCTCAATAACATAAGTCATCTGAAAGAAACAGAATAGCTGTTTGGCCAGAGCAGGACTTTCTTTGAACATGCCTAGGGTGTGATGATCTGAATAAAGAAAGGATTGTTCCAGAAAGGGGCCTGGTCAACCACAGAAGCATGAAACAAGTGGAGGCAGAGAGTCTTGCACTCACGATGTCCATGCCAGGACCAACCAGGGGAAGGAGAATTTTAGGCCTTGGGCCTCCATTCCTCCTGGACCAATGTCAAGGCTCTCTCTATGTAGAGCTGTTGGGCAGAATGTTTGAATTTAGTTCTTTGATGGCAGGACATAGGACACCAACACCATGGGTAGAAGAGAACTAAGTTGAGAATGGGTTAAGAAGAGAGCACAGTTGAAAGTGAAGGGCTGCCACACAGGGTTGCACCTGGGAGGCAGGGAAAGAGCAAGGTGGAGCTGTAGGGGCAGCTTGTGTATGGCCAGCAGCTGGGTTTATCAGGCCTCCCAGGTTCCCTGTGGATTAGCTCATTTGAATAATTTCTCCAACTCCAGGGCATGTTCTATCCCTAGTTTTCTGGTATCCCAGAGCAATCAAGGCTGAGGCTGATGCACAGTGGCCCTCAGAGTACGAGAGCCCCGATAAGGGAAGTGGTTGGGGGTGTTGACTTAATCAGCTGCTTAGGAAGGAGAACTGACTAACCTCTAGCTAGGGTTTCAAAACTGGGTCAAAACACGTTTTTTTAAAAAAATAAAAAATGTTATATTACACAGAGTGGTTTTATCTTGCATGCCTACTCAGATCCACTGCCTGGAGCCCGGTGTTGAAAAGGATTCTAAATCTGAGTGCAGGCTCGGGGGAAAGGAAGCTGAGCTTCATCGGTGATGCCAGGCAGGGGGACGAGGGCAGTACAAATCCCACAAGCCATGGGTTTGCTGACCCACATGTTAGAGAGCTGCTGTCTTAGGTTCAAGTGCTGCTCTAGAGCAGGATCCTCCCTACAGTGAGAAAGAGGCGTTAGCTGTCTCTGCCAGATGATGAGTACTTGACTAGTATCAGTACTTATTCTTTATGACTGCATCCTCTTTATTTCCTTCATAGGCCTTAAGATGATTTACAATTGTATATTTATTAGTTATATGTACACATTATATATTTATTACTAGTTATATGTATATTTAATGTTTTATTATATATCTGCTTGTTTATTATCCGTCTTTCTCACTAGAATATTAGCTCCAATGAGGGCTTTATTCACTGAAGTATACCCAGTGCCTAGTAAAATGGCTCTTTTAGGGTTGGCATTCTGGAATATTTGTTGAATAAGTGAGAAAACAAAAAAACAAAAAATAAATGGATGAATGTAATTCTCTTCACTCAACAAACAATTTTCTGATCCTGGCAGAGCTCTTTTACAGGAAAAGACAGAATCCCCATCACATTGTCAGGAGTATGTCTGGAATTTCTCATAAAATTATAGCTTATATTCCCGTGAATGCCTTATTCTCATGTGTGGTTTGCTTAACATGGGTCATGCACCAGGGACTGTCCATCTCTGGGCGTGGTAAAGAGTGAGTCTCCATATAGACTACAAAAATAGAGGTCAGATTCACCCTTAGGAAAAGGTGCCTCCCCCAATCTCCAGCTTTATTCCCAACTTACAATTTCTACCAAACTATCAACCAAGTCATTGTATTTGATACTAACACATGGTTTCTTAGGTTATTAGGTTAAATAAAATCTGCTGGAGGTAGAAAGATTTTTCTATGTCGACTTTCATCCTTGCTGCTTAATTAAATCCCTCACCTGGGAAAAGAGTGATTTTCAGCCATCTCACTTTCTGTAGCATCAGCATGAAACTGTGACTGTTAAAATACCAAAATGCCAGTTGTGTTTAATGCTTCAGGTGCAACAAGACTGTTATATTTGGAATCCCCTACAAAGACAGATATTAACTGAGAATTGAAAATGACAGCAGAGGAGATTGGATCAGAATAGCTAAATGAGCACACGAATCTACTTCCCTCTTGCTCCAATCCCTTAAAATGTCAGAAAATATATATATTTTTAAGAATATGTCCATAATGGTACTAGAAAAGAAGACATAATGCTATCAGAGACCCAATAACCTTGGGAATTTCCCGAAAGACTACAGCAAATAGAATGGAGTTGAGAAGAATGAAGATGACCAGCGACCAAAGAATGCTCAGGAAAAAACAACATTAGATGTAGGAGCACATTCAAAGAGACACTGAACTCACAGCAAATTCATTGAGAAGCAGGAGGGTATCTCCAGTGACTTAATTGCATTAATGGCCCAAATTCTTCACCTCTCCCTGTATTCATGGACCTTTGCCATGAGACTTTGCAATTCCTCTTACCACAGAGGTGGAACCTATTACCCCATCCCTTGAGTCTGGACTGGCCTTGTGGCTTGCTTTGCCCAATAAAATGAGGCAGAAGTGACAATGTGTCAATTCTAGGCCTAAGTCTTAGAGGCGTTATGTATTTTGCATGTTTCCATTTGCTTCTCTTAAACCTCTGGCATTGCCATGAACATCCACACTAGCTTTCTGGGGTATGAGAAACATGGAATAAGGCAAAGTCACCAGTCATCCCAGCCAACAGCCAGCCAACACCCAGGCATATGAGCGAGCCACTGAGGTTTTGTGGCTGTCTGTTACACAGCATTATCATGGGAATATGTAACTGATACAGAGCCCCAACTGTCTTCATAACACCACATTACTGCTTATAATGAGCAATAAGGCAGCAATGGTATTTGACTCTAGAATGAAACCATAACCTGTACTTGAAAGAAAGGGAACCCATGCCTAAGGAGGGCTGCTGTGAGGGCACAGTGGTCTGAGAAAGAAAAAGAATTGTGTTGAGATAGCTCTGGACCTCCAGACCTTGGAGAGAGCAGGGGGAAAGGAAAAAGCAGCTCTAGGAGGAAAATAAACTGACCTTCTCTCTCTCTTAACCAGGGTTAAGAAAGCCTTCCTTGTTTTAGCCATGGGGGTAGTAGTAGGAGGCCCCAGACTGATTGCCTGCTGTACTTTCAAACACCTAAAAATGAGATGCATCAATTGACACACTCTGCTCTCTTAAATAGAGCCTGAAATTAGCCCTCACACTTGGGAGAGGACCCATTGCTGATACAGATGTATGCAATAGCACAGAAACTCACCCAGCTATCCACACCCATCTACTCTGTTTTCAGTCATTAATATAAAGAAACAACCAAGGAACACAGATGTTGGAGAAAATCCCCTGATATGAAGGAGAAGTAATGAGATAAAGAACAGGCTACCTAATCTTAGCAGAATCAAATCATTCAATAAAGGGAAGAAATATTGCTTTAAGAATATAATAATATCCTCAGAAAGATCCATTATAATGTTGCATCCATAACAGAAAGTGGCAAATGTGAAGGGAAATTTTCAGAAAATAATATAGAACCCTTGGAAATTAAATTTTTTTCTTAAAAATTCTTAGTATTATAATAAACAATATAAGACACAAACCTAAACACAAAATAAGCAATTAGGAAGATAAAGTTCAGAAAAATTTTAAGAACAGAGCAGAAAAAGAAGATGGGAAATGTATAAGAAAGAGAAAAGGTGTGGACAATTGATCCAGGAGGTCCAACATGTGTTGACTAGAAGTTCCAGAAAGAAAGAACAGAGTAAATTGATGGGAGAAAGCAATAAAAGAAATAGTGGACAAAATTTCTGCAAGATGAAAAATAATGAGTCTTCAGATTGCACAATCTCTGTGAGTGCTGAGTAGAAAGAATTAAAACGCACATCCACACACTTACATGCACACATGGATGTGAAAATCAAACAAAAAGTGGCAGATCACCACCACATCAACAATAGTACCAACAACAAAAAACATGTATGTCTTCAGTTAAACCCAAGTAATTCTTGATGAATGATGTAAAAAACACACATACATGAGCCTAGAACAGAATTCCAAATTATAAGAACAAAAAAGGTAGCAGGCAGGGAACGTGGAACTAAGCAAAATTGTACTAGGTTTCAAGAAGGTACTGAGAAGATATAGATAATGATGAAGATAATGACAATTCTAGATGTCAGTAGTAAACAAGAAAAAATCCAAAATACATGTAATCTCTACATATGAATGTAAGTGCATGGAAAAGGGTCTAGAAGAAGACACAGGAAGCCTTTTACAGTGGTCAATGGGCAGTAGGAACAGGATTGTGGGGCAGAATATAAAGGGAGACTTGCACCTTGAAACTTATCAACTTCCAAATTTTGGAGTTTTTTACAATGCAACAGTGATCGTCTATGTATAAAAATAAAGCTAAAGATTGTTTCAAAAATATAGCAGAGAAATCACACTTGCTTTCAATGTCTAGCAAAGCTATTTTCATGGGTGGGAAGAACTGGTAAAAGTCATGTTTATTTTATTTCTATTTATTTTAGGATTATTTGTATAAATGGAAAACTATTACTTCTAATTTAAAGTACCATCTTTTTCTTTTTTCCCCCCTTTTCTTCCCCACCCAACTCATTCACTCGTCATTTTAGGCCAGGAGACATGATTACTCTTCTAGAAGACTCCAATGAAGACTGGTGGAAAGTAAGTATTTCTTTCTTTAAAAAAAAAATCATTTGGTAACTACAATTACAATGAATGCTACAATGTGGATGCATGCCTCCTTTTTCCTTTCAGGGGAAAATTCGAGACAGGATTGGCTTCTTTCCAGCCAACTTTGTTCAGAGAGTACAACAAAATGAGAAGATTTTTAGATGTGTTAGAACCTTCATTGGGTGTAAGGAACAGGGGCAGATAACACTGAAAGAGAATCAGGTGAGTAAAGCACACAAACACATACCAAGTATGACCAAAATAGAGTCACGGTCATATTAACAACATAGCAATACATATAAATTTAAATGAGTGGGATCACATTCAAAGTTTTCAGTTTGAGAAAAGATATACTTACTCCAATAATATTAGTGTAGTAGGATCTAAACATGCAAAACCGAAATGTAGGGAAGCTCACTTGGCGGTGTCTGTTCACAAGAGGAAATGTATAGAACATCATGGCAGCAGGGCGAGAACATCTGGTCCCATACTTTTCTCTAAGGACCACTGGTCTCTGATATGAGCAGCTACTCCAGTTTGGGCCCTGTGCTGGTCTCCACCAACGCCTGGTTAATTTTTCATAGTCTCTTGGGAATACTTTGTTGTTACTTGCTGCTGTGTTCCATGGTTCATTGTAATTGACTCCAGTCACAAAGACTCTTCTTAGGTCTCCTTGTCCAGACTTCTAGCTTCTGCCTGCTCACTGGAACCCAAAACACCTTTGCTTCACTCCATAAAACATAGGCAAGACATAGATAACCAGGGACTATCTCAGGCCCATGCCCTGGATGTCTCCCTACATCTAAACTAGAAGTGTCTGGAGCCATCTTGCTGCAGTTCCATGTTGAATGTGGAGTTCACTATGATGCTGTCCATTTCCTAAGAAGTGAAGCGTGAACCCCCTGCACCTGTGTGTCTTCAACCTCCTTGCATCATGCTTTCCCATCGCACTCCTGGAATGCTGATAGGGACAAAGAGACAAGACATGCACAGCTCAGCTTTGTCCTACTCTGCCTGTCTTTGTCTTCTTCCAGAAGAGAGAGCTACCTATTGCCCCTTCTTCTATGACTGCAGCTCCCCTCATGTCATACCCTGCATCCTCACTATAGAGTAAAATAATATGCTTAGACCTCCAAGTTTGCTTTTAATGTGTTTAGGGATGATTTTGGAAATTAGACATTAGAAATTTCTCTTCCCACCTAATAAAGTCTCATAATTAACTCTAATTTCCAATTTTGAAAGTCAAAACCTTGCCTCTCTTTCTGTCTGCATTCTTGGTGTAACAATTCTAATATTTCCTGAGGCAATCAATGCCTCTAGTTGAAAATGATGAGACTCACCCTACAAAGAAGTACAAACTAAGAAATGCATTTTAATACTATCCCTGTTCAATAGAGTTACCCAAAAGACAACTTGAATGGAATTGCCTTCAAAGATAGTTTCTAAGCCCCAAAAATAAGTCATTACTTTATAATTGTATCTGATTTGTAATTTTAAAAAATTGTTTTACCTAACTTGATCAACCATTTTATATGCCTCACATGGCTCCAAATGACTTATTTTCAAATAAACAAATGCACCTTCAAAGAATATGATTCACCTTTTCTTTATGGCTGTTCAAAACAATCTCTAAAAGAAAAATCTAAAGAAAAATTATAATATAGAGGAACAGCTTTTTAAAAAGTGTTAAACATCCCCTTTCTTTATATTCAAATAAATAAAAGTTAGTGAGAGTGAGAGACTGATAATTCTGAGTATCATTTTTCCCTATATATTTTAACAAAGGTCAGGGTGGAAATCAGTGAAATTGGCATCTTCATAAATACTAGGATCCATTGGTCCATTCATTTTGGATAGTTATTTGGTGCCATGTATTAAGAGCCATGAAATTGCTCGAGTTCATGAATGCAGTAACTCCATTTTCTATAGTATAGCCAAGAAAGTAATCTAAAATACAGAGGGGAAAACTTTATGCAAAAAAGGTAATCATCACAGTGGTGTTCATAGTGATGAGAATTAGAAACAATTCCATAACAATGGAGTAATTAAGTCAACAATATTACTTTAGTGGCTAGTGTTAGGAAGCAAGATAGTTTTGATGGTGTTACAATAATTTTATGGAAAGAACACTAGAATCCAGACCCAGATCCCAGTCACCACTCCCCCAACGTAAACACAAAGGGAGAGATGAAAGTAGGGCCTGATGCCATTTTTATAATTGGAAACATAGTGAACCAGACATGACCTAGGGGCCCAATAGGCCTCCTCACCACTGCTACCACCACCACCGTGGGCCAGTCTGCATCTCAGAATCCTCTAGCACCAGATGACCCATGGGAGAGCAGTGGATCAGAAAAGAGTGCGGCAAAACTGGCATAGGAGACAAGATGGCCTGATGATGCCCCAGGAGGAACCAGAAAGGAGAAGCTTTACTAGATGATGATAAAGCCCTGAACATGTGGCCTGATCAGATCTTCTCCGGAGAAGTAAGGACAGCCCTAGGAGAGAGGACAGAGGTCTTCAAATATTGTGTCACCATCTCAGATGACAGTTTATAAACAATGAAGGAATAAGTTAAATATTAATGATTCAATGGTAATGAAAAATTAATATAAACATAAGAGAAAAAAGAAAAAATTAGAAGGTTTAAGGGATTTTTTTCCTTTCCATTGAAATTACTTTCATAGTGTAAATTTTTAAAAACTAAATTTAAAAAGAAGCAAAATTAAAAATAGTCAATCTTATCTTTTGAATTTAATAATGTAAAAGTACACGGTGTTGCTGTGACTTTCCTGGGCCTCAATCTTGCACGTGCACACACACACACACACATACCCCACCACATCCTACCATTGCTGTATCTAATTGTAGTAGCTGCTGCTTCTATAAATGCACGTACCCCCAGAGGTGTATGCCATCTAATGATTTTTGGTTATTAAAATCTCTAATAACCTTAGGGAATTGGGTCATTGGGCTCTATGGTTTCACTCCAGTTGTACAGTTTTACTTCAAATTGGCATTCTTCTCGCCTATAAAAATTGCTTACAAGGTATGACCACTTTAGGACAGACTGCATTTTGAAAATTACACAACCTCTCCTTTCCTTGGTTCCTTGTGAACAGAATATATGTTGAAAGAGATCAAAAGCCATCAATGCGCTGACATGAAATACACCTCTCTTAAGATCTTCTGCTCCTTCATTTTCTGCCCAAAGTTGCTCATTCTCCCTGGAGCTGGTGTTTGCCCAACACATTGCTTGCCCAAGTGCTCCCCAGAGATAGAAGAAGCCATCATCTGCCTACAAAGAACAGTGGCGTCTGAGGGACTCCCCTTAACAGCACCCCTGGGGAACCCCACCATCCCCCCTACTCCTGACAGATTGCACAGACCACTCTGTCTCCCATAAAAATATATGCAAAACTCTCATGGATATTCCTTTTTGGATTGTGATGACCTGTTTTGGGGTCTGCTCCGTGAAACAGAACCTTTTCTCCAGCCTCTGGTTCACAGAGAAGGAAAGAGCAAGTTAATACTGTCCTAGACATTGTCACAATACTAATTGTTGCCTCATCGTTATTATTAGTCATTATTTAACAGTGTTATATGTATATATTACATAATATTTGTAAAGCTTACATACCTACATCTTATTTGAGGTTCCACACATGCCCTATGAATTTTATAAATTAATTATTCACTATTTATATGAGGAAACAAAGGCTGATAGAAATTACATGCCTTGCTTAAGGGGGCAAAAACCTGGAAAGTAACCAGGCTGAAACTTGAACATAAGTCTGCAAGCTCCAAGCCAGTGCCTTCCGCTGAGCCACGTGCCCTGGACCATGTAGAACAAATGCTCAACAGTAAAGCACCATTTACATAGTCTGGCCCCCAGGGAAGGCAAGTGTCACAAAGGCAAGCATCCTAGGACAAGAGGGCCCTTTGAAAACAAATTCTTGCTCACGTGGGCACCCTACTGAGTCACTCTTGATTCCAGGCAATGGAATCATCCTCCTCAGACTGAGACCCCGTCTCTTAATGCCACACACATCCCACAAAGCAAACAGGCACTTTTCCCAGCTGGATTCCACGCCAATGTTTCAAACTTCTCCAAGTTTACCCAAATGTATCCTTCCTGTTCCAAAAACTTGGGAAAGTCTTTTGAATGAAATAAATTTGGGAAGGATGTTCATCTTTATTGGCAAAGTGTTATTAAATAATTTTGCCAGAATGTTTGATTCTTTTTCTCAGAATAATCTTGTGCTTCCCCATTTGAGATTAACATTGTTTTTATGTTATTGAAATACAAATCAGTGAGATCAGAAGGCAAATTAAAATTTTCTCGAGTTGATCAATCTCCAGAAGCAGAACATCTGTTCAATGACTCCTACCAATTCCTTGGCCATATTCCCCAAAAAAATATTTTCTGGGAATGGGCTCTCACCTGCGTTCTCCCCTCTCATGGTTGAACTGACAATCTGCTGGTGTGGCGGTGAGGCAGACAACAATTAGCCATGTTCAAGACACAATATAGCATTTGAGCCTGAAACTGGAACCACATGGATCTTCCCAGAATTCTTTAGGAAAGTGCAGTAACCCTCAATATTTGCCCAGCCGGGTGTTTCTCAAGATGTGACCTCCGAACCACAAGAATCAGATTCTCCTGGGAGTTTGTTGAAAATGCAGATTCCTGACTCCACCCCAGACCTGCTGAAGCAGAACCTTTCAGGGTAAAGGCAGGGAGTCAGTCTCTTTTACAAACTCCCTGGGTATTCTGATCAAAGCTAAAGTTTGAGAATGACTTTCATTTCCGTTATCTCCCTTCTAAGTCCTATAGTAGTTCGGTGACAACTGAAGGCATTTTTATTTACGATTACATATGAGTCGACAGTAGGCATTGAGGTCTCTTTACCCCTACACAAATTCTCTATTTTCAATCTTTGTCATCAACATGGCAACCAATTTCTGAAAAATGTCAGCCACCTGAAAGAAAATTTACATTTTAAAAATCTGTTCTTGAGAAATAATTTTGAAATTTGTCTCTGCCTAAGTGTCTGAAATTGTTTTAGGTGTAAAATTTCAAAACATACCTGTTAATTGAGGGGAGTACTGTAATGTAGTAGCAAAAACATGGATTCTAGTGTCATAAAGAAATAGATCCATATCCTGTGTGATTTTTGGCAAAGTCACCTCTGAATGTCAACGCTCCCATCTGTAAAATC